AGCTGACGAGCACAGAGCAGTGTTGTCTTGTGGGCGCTCGGCGTCGTGGCCCCGGGCTCCTGGCCTGAGTGTGCACGCGGCATGCTTTTGGTGGGCAGGAAGTACGTCTGTTATTTAGGCGGTCTTGGGGGCACACGAGGGCAGCCCCATTGCAGCTGGGCTCACTGCCTGGTCCTCCTCCCCCGCCTGCTGCCTGCATAGGGTTACACGGGAAAACTGGAATTCCAGCCGCGCCGGGCTCAGGTGCACAGGCGCGTTGCAACTTTAATGACCTGGTGCTGCTGGCTGCTCAGCGGGCCTCACCAGCTATGGCGCTGGCTGGGTCCCTGGCAGGCTGCCGGCATTCTTGGTGAAGCTGGGCCTGCGGGCTGTGGAGAGAGGAGGGGGGTGAGTGTGGCAGACCCTGCCCCGTAGGGTGCAGTGGGGAGGGGTGGGCAATGCTCCACATTTGGGGCACCCGAGAAGCCCCTTTCAAGGGTAGAAGAGGATGCACCCCCTTGCTGTGCCGGGGTGGGCAGGCCGGACATGGGACTGGCCTGTGTGCAGGAGAGAAAACAGGCCTGCGAGGTGAGGAGAACACACCCAACCACGGCCCTGGCTGGTGTGTAGGTCAGAGCCTGGGACCCAGGCCTGCCTGTCCTGCTGTTCTCAGAGGCAGCCCTGTCACAGCCCAAACCCAGGCCATTGCCTGAGTCAGAGGACTTCTCGTGGGCCCCCTGGGAATGGGGGGTCGGAAGGGATTCACGCGCCATCTCCCCGGTGGCCCTCGCGGCAGACCCGTCCTTCCCCTGCTTCTAATCCTGCCGTGTCTCTTGCTTTCAAGCGTGCGCCATCTCGGGCCTGTTCAGCTGCATCACCATCCACCCTCTGAACATCGCGGCGGGCGTGTGGATGATGTGAGTAGCGCGCCTTCCTGCGGGGCTTGGGCCACTGTGCGCACCTCCTCCTCCTCCGTGCCCTGGGCTCGGTTTTCCTGAGCCCTGTCAGGGCCGGGCCTGGAACGCCCACCCCGGCCTTTGTTGGGTGTAGTGTCTACAACATCAGACTCCGCGGGCACCAAGTCCACGGCCTTGGGCCTCGCCCTGGGAGCCCCCAGGCCGTCCTGGCCAGCCCACGATGACGACGCGGGAAGGAAGGTTTCTGACGGGTCTCAGTCGGGTGCTGGGATCAGGCGGTCCAGCTCCGAGGTGGGCAGGCAGTGCTGGCTGCAGATGGAGCAGATCAGAGTGGGCGAGGGTCAGGCATTAGAACGCCCGATGAGTCCTTGCCCACCTCCTGCCAGGGTAGCTGCCCCGTGGGAAGGGAAGGGAGGGGTGAGAACTGGGCAGAGCAGCTCTGGCTGCATCTGACACCCCCAGACAATGAGAAGTGGCTGAGCACCCAGCACAGCCCCTGCCCACGTGGGGCGGTGGGGGAGGAGCACAGAGGTGGGAAGATGTCCCGCTCTCAGGGGGCTCAGGCAGTGGTGAGGCCTGGGTTGTGATGCTGGAGCCTGGGGCTGTGTTGGCCGAGGCAGGGGGACGGGGCCCGACGGGTCAGGCCCGACAGGGGAGAGGCCCTGGACCCTTGGAAGAGAAGAGTTGGCCGAGCGCTGTGGAGGGCCACGCTGGGAGGCCTGGCCGTGTGGGAGGTTGTGGGTGAGAGCAGTGTGAGCTGTGCAGAGAGTTCCTGCTCTGGGGGGATGGGGGGCTTTGGGGTGCCCTGAGCCTGTGTTTCTGCCAAATGAGGGGACCCAGGGACTTTCCTCAGGCCTGGAGGTGAATGGAAGGGTCCAGGGTCTGTGTCTGACCCAGCCACAGAGAACACGAAGACTGAGCGTGCACCCTCAGCCCCCATGGCCGAGCTGTCCCAGCCTGGACACGGGCTGCGCTATGGCTGATCTGTCCCAGCCTGGACACAGGCTGTGCTATGGCTGAGCTGTCCCCAGCTGGACACGGGCTGTGCTATGGCTGAGCTGTCCCCGGCCTGGATCAAGGGAAGACCCAGATTCTCGCCTCGGGCATTCAGTTCAGTTAGGGTCACGGGACGGGGAGTGCTGAGACGTTGTCGAGGTCCAGCGGTCAGCCCACGCTCCCTCCCTGCCTCCAGCACGAATGCCTTTGTCCTGCTGCTCTGTGAGGTGCCCTTCTGCTGTCCATTCATCGAGTTCGCCAACACGGTGGCAGCGAAGGTGGACCAGCTGCGCTCCTGGCAGAAGGCTGTCTTCTACTGCGGGTGAGGGCTGCGGGGCCCTGGCATGCTTCCCAAACGCTGCCCGGCAGTGACCTGGGTGGGGTCAGGCGCCCACGGTCGCTCGGGGGAGGTTTCACCTGGGATTCCTTCGTGGGCATCATGGTCGCTGATACAGGATGGGACCCGCCGCCCGGTCATACACGGTTCCGCTTGGTGTGTAGCAGAGAAAGGGCCCGTCAGTTGGGATCCTGAAACGCATTCGGGTACGTTTGTGCCGGTGTCTGCGCAGCCTTTCCCGAGCCGGACGCCCGGCGCGAGGGGAGATGCAGACAGAGAACACGCTCCAGACGCGCCTCTGACCACACTCAGCACAGTGCTCCAGCCGAGCCCTGAGAGGCGCTGACTGCAGGCGTGTTTAATATGCAGAAGCTTCTAGCACAGCGCCCCGAGCCCCAGCTCTCCACAGCCTCTGGCAGCAGCAGCTGCAGGTTTTTACTGTCTCGCTTGCCTTTGGGGGTAGATGCGAGGTGCCTGTTTCTAGGGTTCCTTCCCCGGGAGCCCAGCATTTGGGACTGAGCTCCGATGTGAGTCCCGTCCCGGAGCCATCTGCCCCGAATCTAAACACAGGGTCACGGAACACTGCATCTCCGTGCCCTTGGCCCGGATCTTTACTCTTTAAACGTCAGCAGTCATACATATTCGTTAAAATAGGAAATTGTTGCCCAAGCCCTGCTCCCTGTTGACATTGTGATGCGTGTCTCTGTGTCTTCAGGCGTGGCTCTAAACCTGCCTCTTACAGCTATGACCGTTAGAAGTAAACCTATTCCTGTGCTTTTAAAATTAAACATTATGACATAAACATTCTCAGAATCACCGCAGGGACTCCCCAAGGTCACCCTTACCAATAGGGTTATTTCTTCAGCGGGGCATGCGCCCTGCTCTGTGAACGTGGTCTAAACCGACCTTTGACCTTCACTAAAACTTCCTGTGTGTAAGATGAGGCCTCAGACGCATGCCCAGGTGTGGGGTCACTGGGTCGGAGGGTGCGCTGGGTTAGAAGGTCTCGGGGGGACTGGGTTGCTTTGCACAGAGGAGGGTGCCTGGTTTCCCCATCCACCCACCACGCGCTGCACCATGTCCACATTCTGTCTGTCATCTGAGGAGAAATATTTTTCCACGATCGCATTTTTCTTTTGGGAAAATGGTCCACTTTACTTTTTACCTATTGGCATCTTAGTGTTTCCCTTAGGTTCTATGTGTCTCTATATTAAAGATTTCTTAATCCTTTGTCAGATTTCCTGCAGATGTTTTTCTAGTCTGTTGTTTGCCTTTAATTTTATTTTGACAGATTTTCCCCCTGTGGTCTTTCTGTTGTTGTTGTTGTCGTTTCTGTTATTCCTTTATCACTTAGAAATTTTGTAACACACTTGGTCCTTGAAGAACGCAGGGGTTAGGGGTGCCAACCCCATGCAGTCAAACCCCCTGAAAACGGAAGTGTTAATAGCCTGCTGTTGACTAAAAGAAGCCTCATCGGCAACATAAGCAGTGGGTTGACACATAGGTAGGTATCATATACTGTATTCTCACAATAAAGTAGGCTGGAGAAGAGAAACATTACAATCGTAAGGAAGATGCCCGGCCAGTGTTGCCCAGTGGTTGCGCATCGACCCATGAACCAGGAGGTCACAGTTAGATTCCCGGTCAGGGCAGATGCCCAGGTTGCAGGCTTGATCCCCAGTGGGGGGCGTGCAGGAGGCAGCCGATCAATGATTCGCTCTCATCATTGGTGTTTCCATCTCTCTCTCCCTCTTCCTTCCTCCCTGAAATCAATAAACATATGTTAAAAAATCGTAAGGAAGGAAATAAAATACATGTAAATGCATTTACAGTGCTGTGCACATTTATTGAAAAGGTCCGCACACGCGTGGACCTGTGCAGTTCAAACCCGTGTAGTGCAGGGGTCAGCTGCCCAGTAGGATGTCATGTCACGTGGCAGCCAGATTGGAAGTCCCGGTGAAGTCAGGTCGGGCCCCATTCTCCTCCCCCGTGTGGCCAGAGGGCTGTGCGTCACACTGGGCAGGGGGAGGCCGGGGCGCATGCCTGGGAGCGTGGGCAGCCTCATCCAGGAAGTGGCAGAACAGCATGCTGATCCAAGTCCCCACACATTTCTCAGAGTTTTCCTGGCCGAGTTAATCCCACCATCAAGGCTCAGCCCAGCGGATACTTAAGCCCAAGAGGACACCTGCCGCCAGGGGGCGCCAAGCTGTATGTGGGACCAGAGAGGACAGAGCCAGTGAGCTGCCGGTGCCGGAACCTGGCAATGAGCCCCATGCCTCGTGGGGTTCCACCTTTGGCTCTTCCTTGTTGACCTATGGCGGGCTGTCCTGTCCTATGGCGGGCTGTCCTGTGCTGCCAGGGGCCCGCATTTAATTAGTGCCTCCGTCCCAGGCGGTGTGTGAACTCCCGCACATGCCTGGCCCTCCCTCGCTCAGTCACACGCAAAGCCTCAGAGGGTTGATTCCCACCCCACAGTAGAGACTGAGCCTAAGAGAAGTTAAGCAAGCTGCCTACTGTCACAGAGCCACCATCACAGAGCCCACAGGCATAGAACCTACAGGCACAGAACCCACAGACACAGAGCCCACAGGCACAGAACCCACAGGCACAGAGCCCACAGGCTCAGAGCCCACTGTCACAGCCACCATCACAGAGCCCACAGGCACAGAGCCACCATCACAGAACTCACAGGCACAGAGCCGTAAGGGCCTGAATGGACAAGAGGTTTCCTGGTCTC